CATGTAAATCTACACTTATCATTTTAAAAAAGCAATGTACAATTAGCTCCTTTTTCTTTTCTTGTCTTAATTTTGTTGTGACGCAAGCTTGCAAGATTAAAGGCATGCAAATTAGCTTGGATCTTGTAATTAGAGGGGTGATGCGTGCCTACCCTCGGTTCACACATGCCTCTAATGAACTGCTGACTTTATAAACCCTAAGCCTCTATTCAAATTAAAAACCCGTCAAGTGTGAGCTTGGTTTAATAAGGCTCTGTAGTTTGTTCTCCATCTATCCGTAAACAGGTAACACAAAGTTTTCCCTATGTTGAGACAGTAAAAATCTTTTTATCTCCGTTTTTTTCATACATTTACAGAGAAATGTTTTTAAATCTATTGACATATTTTTGCTAATTTAAATACATTATATGTAAAAGAAAATTGAGAGTTCAGGGACTGCAAATTGACTATAGTCAGAGAAAATACAAATGCTTTTTCTAATAATATACACTTTCACCTTACATAAATGTACTAGCTTCCGCACGCGACTTCGTCCACGTGGATTTAAAAAAAAACAAAAGTGAGTAGCCTATGTGTTCTTTCAGACTATCCTCTATGTCTATGCCAAATTTCATCGAGATCTGTTCATCCGTTTAGGCTACAAACGCTAACAAACATCCATTCATCCGTCTAAACTTTCGCATTTATAATATCAGTAAGATAAGATTAAATAACACGCTACGAGGTTTCCTTCGAGTACAAACAACAAGGAAACTAATTCAATTTCTTAGAGTTTTCAAATTGAAAGTATATGAAGTTAACAAAGTTAACACCTAACTCCAAAGTTAAAATCATTTAAGTAAGACTCTTAGATTAGTTTGAATCCTTGATTATAAACTTAATTTTTAATTGATGTAAACATTTCCGAGGCCTTGGGGACGTAAAATGCTTAAAAATTGATAATAGTAAGCAAACAGACAATTTATGTGTTAGACCCTGTCATAAGAAACTGTTACTTTAACCTAAAATAACACTTTCCAGACCCTAACACTTAAGTAGCAAAGTTACGTTTAACTCTCGAGTTAGGGCAGTACACAGAGGGTCTAATTTAATCTTAAATATGTTTTATATGTAACATAAAATACACAAGGGCATACAATAGTGTTAGTACTTATAGTACGCAATATTTCAATTACACTTTCTGTTTTTCATTTAAATTTTTAAAAAAAATCAGAAAGTTTCACATTTCATCATTTCACGCAAATATTAATTTATCAGCAATATTTTAAAACTATTTTTTTGCTATTATTTTTAATATGGGACTTAATATTTCGTAATGTAATTTTAATAAAATATGTCAATGTTAAGTAGTATTTTCTGGCATAAGATAATAATGTGCGTGTTTTAAAAAAAATAACTTTAACTTAGAAAGAAAATTATAAATTATTTTGGATACAATAACAAAAAGCTGCTCCTATAGATTCGAATTATCAAACTAATTTAGGTTACCATTACTTCGTTATTATTATCTGATTAGAGCGCCATTTCGATAGTTGAAAGTAAATGCTATATGACGAAATCACCGTATGTCAAGAAGTTATGTTTAGCGCCATCTATGTGGTGTCTTTACCAACTCTTACACTTAACAGTCATTTATTTTTATACTCGCTAAATTTACACACCTAGAACCACAGTGTTATTGCGTAAAGTAGCTGTAAAGTCCTGTTAACAATATGTATTTTTAAATAGAACAAGGTTTTTAAATGCAAAAATGTTTTCCGTTAGCACCGATACGTACTTAAACAAACTGGACAGATCTTGATGAAACTTTTGTAATGACAACAGAAAAGGTTTGTATCTTACATCATTTGAATAAATAAGTAAATAAAAATAAACACATTTTTTGACTTCGTTACATTAATTTTACAACCCATTCTTATGTTATTACGAATATTCAAAAGTTTCACTATTATGCCACTAGATGTCGCTATAAGTTATATAGTTTTGTATGGAACTCGATGTAGAGAACCGTTCTGCGGCAATGACTCGCGCGAGTCGTGTTACGACAGACAAGACCTTACTTCATAGGATCATTTCTATAGTAAGTTCTTCACGAGACCTTCACAACATGTGAGATGGTGCCAACCACGTTGATGAGGCGTGGCGCGGCGTCCTGAGCGTGAGGCGGGCGGCAGCAGCTTGCTGCCAGCCCTCGATGATCGTTCGCCCTCTGCGCAAGCGGGGGGAGTGGGGCGCTGTCGCTGTCTGAGTGGTTTTTGTTTATTTATATTACACTGAAACGTTTCTTAGCTAAGATCTTTATCATACCCAACCCACTTATAAACTTGGAAAAGAGAGAAATAGCTTAAAATAGTCAATAGTAGGACTTCATCTGTTGACTGTTGATCCAACTTGAAAAAAAAGGAGGTTCTCGATTCGTCGGAATCTTTAATTATGTTCCCCAATTAGTAACATCTTACTATTCAAGTATTTTTTTATTTTTATTTTATTTATTTATACTATTCAAGTATAATTATAGAATTATAAATCTCATAAGAAACTACATTTTTTTATTTTAACTTTAAACTTAACTATTCCAAACCATCTTTTTGCTTAATTTTGTTGTCTAATTCTCATCGCCTAACACTAATGTTAGAGGCGAATTGGTCAAAAATATTTACATTTGAAGAAAGAAGGGAAGGGAAGGAACTTCAAGTTCCTATTAACTGAGAATTTATTTCTACGAGACCAACTATCTACAAACTCTGTCAAATCATTTCGAGTTATAAAATACAACTAGCGCCATCTATGTACTACTTTCAACAATTATAACACACTATGCTTACACCACTTCCACATAAAAAAACAAAACACATTGAAAGGGCAGATTAAAATAATGAATGAAAACAAATTAATGGCGCAAAAATAATTAGCAAAATTTATCGGGGTTGTCCCAGACGCATTTATACCAAAAAGATTTATGAAATGCTCAAAAGAGGCAGTATTAAGAACCTGAAACTGACGTGTATGAGCATGTTTAAATTCGTAGGGAGCGAGAGATAGTGTAAATAATACATCTAATGAAAATCTCTGATCTTTGGGTTACGAACAAATTATAGTAAATCTTTTTAATATTCGAACGGATTAAACTTTAATTTCTCTCTTTATGAATTTAAGGAGTTTTCAAATTGCAACGACACAAAAAAATATCTACATATTAAAGTGTTGGCTACTCCTCTCTTTAACGTAATTATGTAATTTAAATAAAGTTTATCAAAAACCATTCTTCCAACTTTTTTCCAAGTTGGATCAACAGATCAAGTCCTACTTTTGATAGTTTTAAGCTATTTCTCCCTTTTCTAAGTTAACTGGGTATGATAAAGATCTTAACTAAGAAACGTTTCAGTGTAATATAAATAAACAAAAACCACTCAGACAGCGACAGCGCCCCACTCCCCCAGCTTGCGCAGAGGGCGAACGATCATCGAGGGCTGGCAGCAAGCTGCTGCCGCCCGCCTCACGCTCAGGACGCCGCGCCACGCCTCATCAACGTGGTTGGCACCATCTCACATGTTGTGAAGGTCTCGTGAAGAACTTACTATAGAAATGATCCTATGAAGTAAGGTCTTGTCTGTCGTAACGCGACTCGCGCGCGTCATTGCCGGAGAACGGTTCTCTATATCGAGTTTCATACAAAACTATGTAACTTATAGCGACATCTAGTGGCATAATACATTTAACCACTCGAAAGATGTTTGTTAAATCCTAGGTTAAAGTGATTACAAGTATTTTAAAAAAGTGTAATTAAAAACACTGAATGAATGATAACCTTAATTAAGATGGCTTTGGATATTAATTTCTTTTAGATAATGTTAGATGTAGAGATGTTTGCAATAGATTTGGGTTGGGGATACTCTAGCAATTTTTTTTAATTTATAATTTAAAAATAAGTATTACCTAAACAACAGTTTAATGCGTAGGAAAGAAACATGCAAATACATTACAAAGAACATAATACGATATACAGTTTCACATCTTTATACCTTTTTAGCAAAGTAGAGTAAAAGTCCTTACAAAACTACATATATAAAACTATATAAAGCCAAACCAGTCTCTAGTCCTAGAACTTCCTAGGAAATAAATGCAATTCTTAAAAAAGTTTTCTAGTCTTCTCCAAATGCAATTATAAATAACACAATACACGGTACGTAATTATAATAAAACACAACACAAATTACACTTTGATAGCGAACAACTAATTTGATCTTCGACTCAAGAATTCGACTGGACTGACAGTAAATAAGTGAGTAGAGGTGAAGTGTTAATAAATGGACCAATGAGAGCGCTAGGATACTCCCGCGCAAGCTCAATAATGTTAAATATGTTAATTATTTGTGTGATTTATTTAAAAAATTCCTTCAACATCTTAATTATAATCGCTAGTCAAAATAAAATATTGATGAGTAGGTAGTAATGTAAATTATATATCAGGTCTTTTTATAAGAATGAGTTTAGAGATTATGCTTATATCGTTTTATTTTTATACATTATATACGTAATAATAAAAGTCCGCTAAAAACAGTTGAAAACAGCGACATCTATATTTTTTTCTTGAAATATTATTGTCCTTTTAACACGAATTTTAACTCGATCAAAATCAATACTTTTAAATAGATTTAATATGTTAATAATAATGGGTAAATGCTAAAATTATACTTTTACTTAAAATTATAAATGTATATGACCACGTGTAAAAAAAAACGTGTTACATTTATTTTCGCTTATTATCAGATCTTATTTGATTTGCAATATCGATAAAACAGGCGGATTTGATAATTATACACTACGTTTTTTGTGTACAGCGACATCTGTTAGTCCACAACAATAGTTTTTCAAATCATCTGTTTGTAAACTGTCAACATGTGCGTCAATAGGCGCGCGCGTAAAAGATTGACGTTTCTGACGTCAGCATTAAATAGATTTTATCGCGTTTTACTTTATGTTATACTTGATTAAAGTTACTAAACATGTGACTAACCAGAAAATAATACGAGTTGTGAAGAAAGGCGGTATTATTACATTGTTTATCTCGATCATTACACAAGAAAATATATTTAACAGTTTTCTGTCAATCTGCCATCTAGGAGAGGAAATAGTCACAAGCAAATTAGTTTTTGTTTTATCCGTGGCGCTCTCGACCCAAACAATGAATTCCAACATGGAGGCAATGTGCTACACAGTTTGAAAATGCAGGCCGTGTCATGCTTTGAAAAAAATCATTTTATAGTTGATTTTGGTGGAAAATGTCGGACCCTAAACGTGCTACTCTTATAACAGTGGGTGCTCCAAAAAGTGCAAAGAATAAAGTGACTAAAACAGTGAGATTAACTATAAATTTGGATGAAAGCAACGAAAGTAAATATCCTGAGCTGAATTACAAGGAACTAGTCATAACAGAAGAGGTAAGTTATAACAGAAAATCATAGCAATTTACGCAACCATACTGGTTTTTCAGATCTTTGTTGAACTGAGAATATGATAGAATAATAAAACTAGGGTTAGTTTTAGTCGTTAGGCGGGTAAAGATGTGTTAGAAGTGGGCCTCTCTTGTGGTCGTATAAGATATTTTTTGCTTACGTTACATAGCTGTGCATTCAGTTTGTAACATGATTTTGCGCCCACGAACTATACGCGAAGCCCAGATATCGGTCGCCATGTTTGCAACAATCTCTGAAGAATATTGTCAACACTAGTCATCAATCTACGAACACAATGTTTTGATCGCGTGCACCCGCCCGTATAATCTATGTATTAATTTGTAACTTTATTAATATTTTTTCTTTTATTTCAACTATCAATTACACGTTGCACTATCGATGACGACACGTAAGATATTAGATAGTAAATCGAGCGAAAGTTAGGTTCGACATTTGATGACCTAGCCTTACCCTGTTAGAACTGTCGTCGTGTCCCGCAAAACAATTATTTTTAGATTGCTTTCTCGAGGTATAAAAAAGTAGTTTTTTAGCGGAATTAGGAAACATCTGTTTCCAGTTGTATTATTTAAATTGACGTAAGTACAGCGTGAAGTGTGATGCGATAGTGTTAGCAGATACTTATTTGTCTATCAAAATGCAAGAATGAATTTATTTTTGCAATAATGTAGAACTAGCGAATTAGTGTTTTGCGGATTATATAGGTTATGCGTTTGTTTGGGGCTCGATTTCGCGGTGCTTCCCAGCGCGGGATAGTTTATGGGTAGGTTAGCGACCTTTGCTTACGTGAGTTTATGAACATATTTTGCATTGATTATAGATAAAAATGTAACTACAGTGTAAATAATGAATGTAATTATAAAGATAATGTAGTTGATGTCGCATAAATAGTATGGCTGTTTATGTTTTATTTTGCGTTTGACAGACGGTAGGAGTTATTTTTTATAGGTTATTTTCGTAATGGTTTGTAGAATTGGAAATGTCTTCCGTGAATTACGGCCATTGTTTTGTGTTTGAATTATGGAAAGATTAGGTTATTTAAAAATGTTATCTAGTATTTTTGTTATATTTGTATGCAATGCAAAATAATATTACAGATCTACCGTTTTATTGTAATTTCGACCTCGTATTTAACTTTTTTGTAAGCAAATAGTTATCAGAGTAAGATTAATTTTCAATTCGCGTTTTTTTCTATTGTTTATTTTTACGAATGGGTGTTAATTTTTTTAATGATAACATTGATAAGGTTAAAAACACTTATGTTAGTTATATTATGTAATATGTGTTGTTTAATATTTTATGTTATTCGATTAATATTTTGTATTTTATTTAGCTTTTATGTTTAACCAAAGCTTATCTGTCAACTTAGAATTAATTAAGACGTTTTTTTTAGATAATGTGGAATGTTTGCTCTTAAATTAAACTTGTTTTTGATGAGTCATTTTAGATATATGAACATAATTTTCACTTATTCGTATATGAAAGATCAGGTGGCGTATATTTTCAAGGTCATCTGAATGCCGGCCTGTCTAAATCCAGTTGTCACAGAATTGTGATTTTAGCGTTCGTAGTTTTTTTTACTAAATACCTTATGATTTATTACACTCTTTCAAGTTTTAAACATTTCTACTTATGATTTCGGATTCCTAATCGCGATGTTTTTTTGACAAGTACAGTCGTGCAGAAAAGTATTGATTGTTAAAAATGTTTTCGTTGTGATTGTACTTGCCACGAAGACGCGTAAACTTTTGTTGAACGCAATAAAGTCGGTTCCATACTTCTTAGTTACATGTACAGTCGTAAAGAAAAGTGTTACATTATTGGTAGAAAATTATGTGTATGTCTAAAAACATCATCATTTACCTCTTCTATAGGTGACTCGCCATAATGTCTTTATTTGTACTAGCGCTTTTTTAACGTTAAAGAGCGTTCAAATAGAACATTTTCTATTTTTAATACGCGACGATTTTTTTATCATTTTGAACAAGGACCAACAATACAATAGTTAAATGTTAGTTAATAATTTTAAAGTGTTCATATGCAGAGTGTTGAAAAAAATCACATGTTTAAACAGCTGTCACAAAAGAGAAACAAATGACTCTCTCTCTCTCTCTCTCCCTCCCTCTCTCTCTCCTCTTCCGGGAGGGCCCTCCCCTTGGACCAATTTGAACACTATTATGACAATATTGATTTTCTTATTGGGATCCTGATGGATGTAGAAAGTGGAACAATCAACTCTCCTTAACATTGTCTAAATCTTAAATACAATTTTTTATCCTAAAGATTATGTCATTAATGTTTCTAAACATATTCTAAGTTAGGTATAACAACTATTTTATCCTTGAGTTGAAGTGGAAAAATTAGTCAACATGTTTCTTTTTATTTTACAGAGAAAAAAAAGAGTGGAAAATGGAAAGACTGGAGGGCTGGACCCTTTCTCAGACAACGATGATGATGTGGAGCGTGTTGCAAGGAAGTTTGAACAGAAATATGTAAGTACTAACTTTCACCCTCGACTCCGTTCGTGTGGAATAAATAAATGAACAAAAGTAACTAGCCTATGTTTCTATCCTCTACATCCATGCAAAATTTCATTCAGATCCGTTCAGTAGTTTAGGCTACAAACTAACAAACATCCATCCTTCGATCTAAACTTTTGTTACAATATTAGTAAGACTCATAAATGTGTAAATGTTTAAAAATAAAATGCTTAAGAAATCGACTATGGTTATTCTGATAGTTGTTATGGTGCATGGGATAATAGCTAAGAACTTCAACCCACATCTTAAGAAGCTCTCGCTAGACAGTGTGGTATAAATGAAACCGCGGTTGGTAGTGGACTCATTTATTATTTGTCAACTGACGGTACATAATATTCGGTTACCCGCATATATACTACAATATCTCCCCCTTAAAAAAATGCCAAACACATTAAATTTATAAAATACATTACAGTTAGATTACGATTCAGATGAAAAAGCAGTTTTTGAAATTACACCCATGATAAGGAGGTACCAGTCTCTGGGCTCTGACCACTGGTTACTGAGCTATCAGGTTCCACAACTAGTGGTGTATAAATTTAAAATGATATTTTTAAAAACTATAAACTTGTGAATTAATGTTTTTAAAGTAATTGCCAAGAAAAGGATTTGAAGCAATAAGGCTAAAATATATTTTTAAGTTAAAGAGAGAGTGGAGGAGATGGTAAGGAGTGGTAGCATGGTATGGGCATGTTATGAGGGATGAATCACATGTTACAAGGAGAATGTTAGTTATGAGCGTGGAAGTACACCGGTAGAGGGAGACATAGAAAGAGATGGATGGATTGCCTGAAAGGTGACATGATCAAAAAGGGAGTGATGACTGAGATGACATATGATAGACTTATGGGGAGGACAAAAACCTATAGTGCCGACCCTATGGGAATAGGATAAGAAGGATGATGATGGTGATGAAATGTACATTTTCTTTGGTATAACTGTAGCCTACATTTTCAAAGATTTTGACAGCAATTTTTTTTAATTTTGACAACCAACTTTTAAAACTGACAGTAGTATACTTTTTATGAAGAACAAATTCTCAACAAGTCTGTTAATAATTTCCAGGGTGGTAAGAGCACATATGGTAGAAGGGGACGTAAACGGGACGATTTTGCGGATATCGGAGCAGGCTATGATGAAAATGATTCATTTATTGACAACACACATGGTGTGAGTATTACATCTGTAAATTAGTGATGTAGGTAAAACCTTTTTTTTTTATTTCCTGAATACGCCAAAATGGCGAAGTGACCGCTGCTCATAGACATTCGCAATAACAGATGTCCATCCTTAATCAACAGAGGAGGAAACGCACATAAAGGGGATATTTCCCCTTTCCCCTTTATGTGCGTTTCCTCCAGCGTCAAAACCACGTTCCCTTCCCATCCTATTCTTATAAGAATAAGGCTGGGAAGGAAAAGGGACTAAAGTTGGGCCTCCGGCACTACACTTTTCAGACGAAACGCAGAATTGCTCCCAATTCACGTCTGTCTTCTGTAAGGTCGTGGTATTTTACCGGGCGAGCCGAGCCTACAGTGCGTAGATGTTAAACCGAACTCTACCACTGTTAAATAAATGCATATAAATGCAGTGCTATGAAGAAAATAATAAATACAGTCGCAAAAATTCGCAGAGTTCCACTTCAGAAAAATTACCTTGTCCATTGTAATAAGACAATCTCCGCTTCTTTCTACAAATAACTAATAAGATAGCAGTGTAAACGAAAGGGAAATAAAAAGAAACTAGATGTGTATTACTAACCTATTTTTTTCATACACATTTATAAGATGTATTGGTTTTTGTTCTGTGTCTTCAAAATATTCAAATTATTGTACCTTTAAGGTGGAACACTGCCAGTTTCTCCAACTGTACATTGTCTTTCTCTTATTTTCCTATGTCCCCAAAGTGGGGCAGAGGATGTCCACAGTACCACCAGCTCGCTCTATCCTGGGTCTTTGTGTCTCAGACCATGACAGCCCGACTGAAATGCACTGTACATTGTACAATTATTTTGTATTATATTGAATTTTCAGTATGATGAGATGATCCCTCCGGAATGCGACACTCTGTATGGTGGTTTTTACATCAACAGTGGATCGCTGGAATTCAAGACAGTGCCTGATGGTCAGAACGGCAACTCTGATGAACCTGCAGCTAATAGAAAGAAGGTATAACTGCTTTGATAGTTACATATTAAGGAAACCATATATTTATTTATCTTTGTAAAACAAAAGTATTTTGTTATTGATTTAAAACTGATCTAACGTTTAGAGGGTGATCAATTTTAAACGCCATTTGTAACCTTTTTTGATTTATGTATACTTATTACTAGCTTTGGCCCGCGACTCCGTCCGCGTGGAAATTAAAAAACAAAAATTAATAGCCAATGTGTTCTCCTCTACATGTATGCGGAATTTCATCTAATTCCATCCAGCCGTTTAGGTTATAAAAACTCAAACAAACATCCATCCATCCACCTAAACTTTCGCATTTATAATATTGGTAAGAGGATATGGTACAAATCGCAAAAAATCTATTATTAGAAGAGTTACTTGTGATTTTTAAGTTTCTATTTTATATTTTAGTTGTAAACTTTTATTTCTATTTATTTTATTGTAACTTGTATTCAGAACTGAATTAAACTCTATTTTATTTATTAATTATGTTGTACATTGTTACAGAGATGTATTTCATCAAGTAGTAGTGAAGATGAGTCTTCGGAGAGCTCATCAGAGTCTGAAAGTGCGGAGGAGAAGGAACCTAAAGCGATAGCAAACGGTACACTGGACTCCCATGAGACTGAACATCGGAAAAAGGTATGCAATTTATTAGTATTGCTCAGAATAATAAAATAGTCAACTAATGGTGCGTTTACCTTAACGATTTTTGTATGAAAATTGTCATGATGTTAAAATGAATTCGGGTAAACAAGCTAATTATTGACTATTAACGCCAAGGTTCGGAAATATGTTGTGTATTATTATAATAGTTCCTCAACATTAGTAATAATAAAATATAACCATGTTACTCACAGATAAATTTCCTTTCTAATGGCGAAAGAATTTTTAAAATCGGTCCAGTAGTTTTTGAGTTATTTCAATACATACAAAAATACAAATCTTACCTCTTGATAATATTAGTATAGATATAGTGAATTTGATTGTCCGTTTGTTACCAGTGGCATAAATGTTAATTGTAGAAATTGGTACATTTCAGAAAAATAAAAAGATCGATAAGAAGAAAGCGGACAAAATCCGTAGGACGGACTCCTCTGCGGCTACTTCTGGTAAACAGACATCAGATGGTAAGCATTTACTTCAAATTTTCTATATTTCGTTTTAAAACCGAGATTATGTAAACAGATAATCAAATTTCAGATATAGTGGCTTATTTTTTTTAAATTAAGGCTAGCTTTCGCCCGCGACTTCGTCCGCGTTGAATTAAAAAAAAAATCGAAAATGAGAGTAGCCTATATGTTTTTCCAGACTATCCTATACATCTATACCAAATTTTATCGAAATCCGTTCAGCCGTTTAGGCTACAAACTCTAACAAACATCCATCCATCTAAACTTTCGCATTTATAATATTAGTATGATAAAAATATTATACGATCTGCATAGCTAAAGTTTTATTAATAAAACATATGGTAAAACACTAGTTTTATTAAAATAGTGTTTTACCATATGTTTTATTAATTTTTTATTATTATAATATACGACATACGAAAACTTTATTGTAAAATGTGAATTTTAACTATGGTAAAGGTTATTTTGTGTTATGTTGCAGACAATGGTCCAGGTGATGCGGAGAGTGCGGACTCCCGGACTTCACAGTCCGACTCCCTCACTTCCAAACCTGCCCCCAGCTCTGAGAATGCTATCACCTCTGATAGCTCCAGGTAATATCTTGTACAACTTACTACCTGACTAGCTTTCTCCGCGACTCCGTCCGCGTGGTATTAGTAAAAACAAGAGTGAGTCTGTGTTCTTCCAGACTGTCTCTACATCTATACCAAATTTCATCGAAATCCGTTCAGCCGTTTAGGCTACAAACTGAAACAAACATCCATCCATCTAAACTTTCACATTTATAATATTAGTAAGATTAGTAAGAAGTAAGACTGACAAAGAGGGTAATGTTTTACATAAGTATGTAAATAGGCCTAACGTCAAATTGTACCAAACTTAATTTTTGTATACTTTATTACTATAAAATCATATTTATAAAGATTTTTTTTTTAGTAGCGAAATTTTATTATTAAAAATTGTATTTTTAAAAATCCCCCGACATTTCTAAAACGCAAAACGATTGGTCGCAGCACGTGAAAATTGGTTTTAATCCTCTTTTTGACTTTTGATCTCTGAGAACCAATCAAATACATTGTTGTTTATGACGTCACAACACTCCGGCACACTCCGGCTGCGTTTTAGTCGCACGAAATTTTTTGTAATTCTATTTTAGCTCAATGGTTGTTTTTTTAATGTCAATACATTTTAGTTTAATTGGCTGCGAAACAATCGACAGTCGCACAACTGTCGTGCGATAGTTTAGTCAAAGGTGTGCATCCGCTCTAATAGTGTTTATTACATCAGCATTTATATTTAAGCTTTCGCATTTACTTATGACGTCATGATTTATGCTTTAACAATCATGTTTTCAGGGATGTGGAGTCAAAGGTGGAGGTGAAACTCCCCCAAGCAGTGAGCCAGGTGCTGGAGGAGCTGGAGGCGCTAGTACGGCTGCTGCACTCCGTCAACACCTCCTCCGAGGATGTGGAGCTCAAAGCTGACCCTTATATTATCAGGTTGGTGTCAAGATTTCGACCTTGTCTACGTAATATTAAGATAAAAAAGTAGCCTATAATATGCCCGTCTAAGTCAGCTCCAGTGAAAGTGCGGTCGAAATCGGCTCATAGCCGTTTCGGAGATTACTAAAGAAATGCGGCTTGCGAACAGACAGACATACAGACAAAGTATTTTAAATGTGATTTTCCTTATCAGCAAATACATCTTCCCGAAATCTGGTATTTTTCATTTGATATTACAGACACTCCAATTTTATTATATGTATAGACGAGCTGTCGCCCGCAAATTTCGTTAGCGCAGATTAAAAAAAAGAATGTCATCTATCACATTCCCGCGTGCATCTACCTTCTACCAGCTAGCTTCTAGTCAAAGTAACGTCCAAATCGGGCCACCCGTTCCGGTGATAGTAGTCCGATCGCTATTTTGACAGCGCGGAATTTAAAAAAAAGTAGCATATAATATTCCCGTTCATGTCAGCTACCCTTCAGTGAAAGTCCCGTCAAAATCGGACCAGCCGTTTCGGAGATTATCAGGAACAAACGCGGCTTGCGAACAGACAGACAGACAAAAAATTTTAAATGCGATGTTCCTTATCTGCAACTCAAATACATCTTCCCGAAATCTGGTATTTTACTTTTGATATCACAAACAGACGCAAAATACGCGCTAGTCGTGAATTTGCTGAAAACGGTAGCTTTTACTACTACTGTTACAGACATTCCAATTTGATTATATGTATAGATTGCAGCATAAAGAAATACAATAAAAAGGTGTGGCAAGCTTTAGGGGAGGCCAGTGTCGAGTTAATAAAATCAAAATTGTTAAGTTTTTTATGTAAATTTTGTAAGATTGTCGAAATATAGGCTATTATTATTATTATTATTAATATTATTATTATAGATTGGAGCGTTCGTTAGCCGAATGCAGTGCGGGCAGTCGCGTGCAGCGCGCCGCGTGGGGCAGAGCTGCCCGTCTGCTGCGTCTCGGGAGACATCGGTTACAACGACGTGCTGCTGACCTTACACGTGATAACGGTATACACAACATTTTTATAACATAAGTGGCAAACGAGCAAGCGGCCACCTGAATTCGCCAAAATGACAAGGCGACCGCTGCCCGTAGACATCCGCAATTGGAGATGCGTTGCTCCCTTTATCCGACGAAGGAGGAGACGCACATAAAGAGGATATTTCCCCTTCCTATGCATTTCTAACCGTCACATCCACCTCCCGTTCCCATCCTCTTCTTATAAGAAAAGCGTGGTAAAGGGAAAGGGACTTAAATTAGGCCTCCGGCACCACACTCATCAGACGAAACACGGAATTGCTTCCATTTGACGCCTGTCCTCTGCGTGGTCGTGGTATTACTGGGGGCGTGCCGGCCCTGCACTGCTAACATGTTAAAGCGGGCACTACCACTGTTAGACCACACTACATATAGTGGCAAACGTGACAACTCTTCGCCAAAATGGCGAAACGACTCCTACTAATGCGCAATAGCATGCTACTCTTATTCGACGAAGCATATCGAGGATAGTACCCTTTAATACGCGTGCCCCTAATTAAAATAGATTCTTATAAGGGAGAAGGGATATGGACTAAAATCAGGCCTCCGGCACACAATCAGACTGTACGTGGAATTGCTTCCACTTCACGCCTGTCTTGTGTGTGGTCGTGTTAAGTCACCGGCACTACAATGCAAAGATTTTAAAGCGGGCCTCCACCAATTACGGTAAATTGTTAATAATATTCGGGTATTATTAAAAAATACCAATTTTATATAAAAAAAAGTCAAAAAATCACATTTCAGGTCCTATTAGGTACTACACATGTCTACAGCTTACTTTATACTTAATATAGTATTTTTAATATCTCATTTATAAAATTTCAGCAACACCAACCACAACAATTGCTCAAACTACAGTCAACTCGGTTACAACTGCAACAATAACAACAGTTAACACAACAACAACCAACACAACAACAACAAACACAACAACAACAAACACAACAACATCCAACACAACTACAACAAACACAACATCCAACACAACAACAACTACAACGAGCAATAAACGTAAATACGAAGAAGATACGGATATTATGGATATAAGCAGATTAACAGCAGATGAAAAGGAAGCTAAGATTGTAGAAACATTACAGAGGTAAGTTAATTTTTTAATCTACGTTAAAAAAAAAATTACGTAATTTTAAATAAGATAAATTCAAGAAACTAAGTATATCTAGTAACTAAGTCATAAATCAAGAAACAACTACATTTTTGTAACTAATAGTGTCTTTTTAATCAATTTAGGGAGTTGTATTGTTTTTTTTTATTAGCAACTAGTTTTTTTTTTTTTTTGAAGAAAAATTAAAACTTTTTTTTTCAATTTTATTTTATAACATTACGTTTTTTTCTTCATTTTTGTGCCTTGGATTAATATTTTTTTACCAAAATGATAGTTAAAAAATTATGAAAACCAATAGAAATGCATATTTCAGGTTAAAGACACTAATTGAAGAACGCAGGCCGGGGATGATAGCTAACTACAATGCGGAGTGCGAGAGAGTACAAGAAGAAAGGTAATTATTTCACTATATGTAATTTTTTTAGAGCGTCGGTGGCTCAGTGGTTTGAACACTTGACTTGTAAATCTACAGGTCTTGGGTTCGAATCCCGCCATGTACCAATGTGATTTTCGAATTTTCATATGTACATAATTTACCCGACGTTCTTACGTTGAAGGAAAACATCGTGATGCAACTTGCACATATCGGCGAAGAAATTCAAAGATATGTGTGAAGTCAACACCCCGCAGTGGGCCAGCGTGGTTGACTATGGCCTAATCACCCTGTATTAGGGTAGGCTTCGAGCCCCTCGGTGGGGACGTATAGTGAGCTGGTGATAATATGTATTTTTTTTTACAATTAATGACAAAACTGGCAAAGCGATTCATTACCTACCCTTAAACGAGAAAGATAGATAGATTTTTCTCCTTCCTATGCGTTTTCCGACCGACTTTCCCTTTATATATTTTCCTTATAAGAAAAGAGTGGAAAGCGAATAGGAATGGGACTAAAATTAGGCATCCAGCGCACACACTGAGTAATTAGCATTACAGTTACTGGTGCAATGTGTTCATGCCAGTAAAATGGCGGAATAACGTACATCCCAATTACTGGCTCAATGCGCAAATTGCAGAAAAAATGAGGGGTAACTTGCATCCTTTACTGGCGGAATGCTTACATTCCAGTAAGTTCCGAGCTTCTTGGTAATACTGAGGTTTTTTTGTGTTTTTTTAAATTTTTTTGTTCTTTTTTAAGTTTTTTATGTTTTTTTTTTTGTGACAGAAAAGAATACAAAGACACTGAAGTTTTTTTTTTGAGGTTTTTGTTTTTTTTTTTTTCAGGAAAAAGATCCAAATAGCGTCTCGTTCTGAAGGCGCGCCTATGATAGAGAAGCGGCTGCCGAAGCGCAGGTTCCCGTGGTGCGGGCGCAGCCGCGCGCTGCTGGCGCGCCTGGCGCGGCTGGCGGGCGCGGCGCCGGCCGACCTGCTGGCGAGGAGGGCGCTGCCTTTGTTCCCTAAGGGATTTGTGAGGATGCCCACCTTGTTACGACAAGCGGAGTGAGTATACTGATTGGAAAAATAAAAAAAAATGTAAAAAAAAAGTATTTTTTTATATTTAAAAATTGTGCAATTAAACCAATTATGTATTTTTAACCTTTGAGGATTAGGTGGCCTCAATTGACAAAAATACTATTAGTTAAGAGGTATGAAAGCAACTATGCTTCAGTCCAACTTTTTTAACCGATTTATTACTTGTTTAATATTTAATAAGTAACAATTTCATGTGCCTAATTTAAAAAATAATATGGTCCCAAGTGTATTTGCTTTTAAACCTTGTCTCAAGTGCTCGATAAAGATTTTGTTAAGTTTTTTATTTTAGTTAGGTTATTCAAGTTTTGACAAATTAATAAAAGATATATATATTTCAGTCTCAGCAAAGAAATGAAAGCGGCGGAAACGAAACGTCAACGAACAAATGAGCCAGTCTCACAAACAGTCCCATACACTGAACAAATACAATTCCCAAGTTCTCTAACTGTCACCACCAGTGTTAAAACATCAGATAAACAGGAAACAGAAGACAAAGACTCGAAATACAAAATAAACCCAGCTGTATTCGGCAAAATAATTAACTATTCAATAAGTAACGATCTTATAGTAGAAAAGTCTGATGACAAAAAGAAAGAAAACGATAAAATCAAAGAAGACTACATTCCCACAAATAACATCGGCTGTATAACAATAACTCCAGTGCCAAATCAGAAACCTTTAAAAAAAAACAACATAATCACAGATAAGAAAGAACCATTAATAAAAGTGATATCACCAGCCGCGTTAAACGAAATGGTGAAGAAAGATAAACATAAAAAGCCGGAAAAAAAGAAAAATAGAGTCGAATCTCCATTACATATAGACACCGGTTATCAAAATAAAGAAACAACCGCCAGTCCAAAGAAAGAAGAAGTAACACAGAAGCAGCTAGAAAGTATGAGAACAGCGGAGAACAATCTTCCCAGACCGGCTTTAGTCCCTGTACATCATTCCCCGACCTTTGCCAAACCCGATAAGAGGCCTCCGGAAGTTAAAAAAAAGAAAGATGTCATGATTATGTCAGACGTGGATCCATTAGGTGACATAATACAAGAGCCGGTAGCTATAGACGATAGTAGTAGTGATATCGAAGTTGTAGAAGACAAGAATATAGACAAAAGTGACAAGACAGTGCCTTTGAGTGACAAAGTGTGTAGTGAAGTGAATAGTGTAAAAAAGGACAGTAAAGAGTGTCAACAGAATTATTTAGAAGAATCAACTAATGAAGATATGGATAATCTAATGAGGAATATTATAGCTATGGAGGTATGTCTTTAAACATAAACATTAACTAACTTATAAACATCCCAGCTCTTAACCATTCTTTTTATTAAAGCTTGATCAATCTGCCACAAATAAATCAATGGTTAACAATAAAATAGTAAGAAATTTCGGAAACCCAGCAAATGCTTAAAGAGTAGTATTTTTGTTTTTGATAAAACTAAACTAGTGGTTTTTAGGTAAATATGTTCTGTAAACTTTGAAAAAAAAAATTATTTTGTAGGTTTTTAAATTTTTTCCCAATGTTTATTCACTGTCCTGATGACTATTACCAAGAAAGCAAAAAAAAAATACCGGAGGAAATAATTTTCAATTATTATATTATGGGATATTTATTTTTTTAACATAGTTGTTCCTCCACTAGACACTATTAAATTATGGGGTTAAAGGGAGAACAATCCATTTTCCTAATCTTTTAGATTGATTATAGGGTTTGGTCTGATATATTGAATACTAGGTGTTAACCGCGACTTTATCCACATGAAATTAAAAAAATAAAGCATATGTTACTTGTTGACACAGTAGAATTGATAACTCAAACCTCGGTAACATAAAAACCTCTATAACTTCAAAAAATAATATGTCCCCTTCCCAACATAGACCCTTGATAACTTAAAACCTCTATAACTTAAAATGTTTTGTGTTTCCCTTGGACTTTAACTTATCAAAGTTCTTCTCTAATTGCTTTTGTAATGGTGAAAGAATTCATTAAATTGACCCAGTATGTGAGTTATTTCAATGCATACAAAAATACAAATCTTTATAGTACGAGCTTTCGCCCGCGACTCCGTCCGCGCGGAATTAAAAAAATCAAAATTAAGTAGCCTGTGTGTTCTTCCAGACTATCCTCTATATCTAAGCCAAATTTCATCGAGATCCGTTCAGCAGTTTAGGCTGCAAACTCTAACAAACATCCATCCATCCATCCATTCATCTAAACTTTTGCATTTATATTAGTAAGATTAGTAAGATAGTGCATGTTTCTGTTTAGAAATCATTTATCATGTCATTTCGAAGTATTCACATAAGGGCGTAATTTCAGCATTCACAAGAACCTGCCAAGTTAAATTGCAACTCATATGGGGGAGTTATTACTAGTGGTAAGTTAGTTATTTAGCATTATATATGTTAAGATATAATTAAGTTTATTAAAACAGTGGTATAAATAAACCATATCCTAGCACAAAAGTTTAGTTGGAATGGATAAAGAAATATTAGTAAATTAACAAAAATCTACTAATATTAAAAAAAAAAGTTTTACCTCTGTTTTAAGTAATAAATAGTCTAACGGATATAATAAAAACCCTATCCCAAGACATTCGATTTTTATTAATTTTTAAAGGAATTCACAATTTTTCAGTAATATAGGGTTATTATATTTCTGGTCAAACTATAGATATATTTGGATATGATTGGATTTCTCAACTTTATTATTTATTTATTTATTTATTTATTTATTTATTTATTGTGTAACTTGTTATTAATAGTATATTTCTATTTGAAACTGTGTTTTCACTATTTTTAATACTTTCAAAATAACTGATTATTTGTAATGTATTTCTTTGTTTTCTTTGTGTAGACAGTAAAAGAATTATAATGAAGTATTGTGGAAGGAATTGGCTCCTGTGAGGGCAACCTACTGGTTACCCTGTGTCACAGGAGCCAATTCCTTTTACTTCCTTTTACTGTCTACACAAAGAAAACAAAGAAATAGATTACAATTAATCAGTTATTTTGAGAGTATTTAAAATAGTTAAAATACAGTTTCAAATAGAAATATACTATTAATACCTATTGGTTACCCTGTGTCACAGGAGCCAATTCCCTACATACATTACATGAAAGTCTTGGCTCCTGTAGTAACAGGAGCCAAGACTTTCATGAAATGTATGCAAAAGAGATAATAAATAAATTATTATTATTATTATTACTATAAAGTGTATAATAGTTTAAATTATGTAATAGTGTTAGATATTATTATCATCTATGTATTAGGAAAAAACCCCTTTCTATACTAGTATTTGCCCGCGATTTTGTATGCGCGGAATATAAATAGTGATAAGTTGCCTATGTTATAGAGATTTGTTAAGCCATTTTGGATATTTGTATTAGTAATATCCATCCAAATTTTCGCATTTATATTAGTAAGATATGATAGTTCAGTATTTTAATTTGAAGTACATTATTCAAAATTTAATTCATTGCTTGAGCTCATGTTGACTATCGAGGGCCTGTCCCACAATTCTTGTAAATTGTCGGAACATATGAAATGTGATGGAAATATCGGATTTTGGTCCATCAGTGATGTCACTTTATCTGAGTATCAGTGGGACAGGCCCTAAGGCTTATAAGCCACTAACAAGGGTTTCTTCACCAGCTAAGCACGAGTCCAACAAACAGTACAACGCAAGGAATACTATATTTGGGGGTCAGCATAGTGATAAAAACAAATTGTAAGTGATATAAGTGATGTGATGCTAGCCTGGGCTGCGGGCCTTGTAGTAACATTTGGGTGGTTATGAACGATATTTTAAAAAAAATTCGTAATAAAAACATAGAATTTATAAGTAACAATGTAACCCAAAATAATACCCATTTTTTAATTCATTGAGGAATACGTTTATTTCGTCTAGAAATTAAAAAAAATCTCGTTGTTAGGATTTCTCTGACTGTACCTAAATAGATTTCGCGTGTATATATTTAACTATCTGCCCGCGACTTTGCCCGCGTTTAATTAAAAAAAAAAAAAAAATATACCGTCGAATTGAATACCTCCTTCTTTTGGGAAGTCGGTCAAAAATAGCCTATGTTACTTACTGATAACATAGCTTTTTAATGGTGCAAGAATTTTTGAAATCGGTCCTGTAGTTTTTGAGTTATTTCAATATATACAAAAATCCGAAAATACAAATCTTCCCTCTTTATAATATTAGTATTGTTGAAATTAAGTTTATTTAAATTGAATTCAATATGCAGGCAGATTCTTAGCTTTTTATCTAGGGTAACAAACTGGTGAAATTCAAGTTGGTAACATACTTAATAAACATCCATCCATAAAATTTCATATTTAAAATATTACTATAGCATATAGTTAAGACAAGCTGTTACCCGCGACTTCGTTCACGCAATATTCAGATATAAAAGTGGCCTATAATATGCCCGTCTGTCAGCTACCCTTTAGTGAAGACCGGTCGAAATCGACCCAGTCGTTACGGCGATTACCTGGAATAAACGTGGCTTGCATACAGACAGTCAAAAATTTTTCCTTTTCATAGTATAAACAGACACTACAATTTTATTATATCATCACCAGCTCACTATATATTTCCACCGAAGGGTTCGGAACCTACCCTTATAAGGGGTGGTAATTTTATTATTTGTATAGATTTAATTAAATTTCTTATATCTTTCATAATTGCCCAAAATCATTCACTAGCTCTATCGCTTACTACTTATTTTCAAATATCACTTCATTTTCACCAGTTATTGTAAACTGACTTCCATCTAGTTACACCATTTACTGTCAAAATGTATATAGTTTTGGAAAATTTTAAAATGCAATTTTGAACTTTGAAAATACTTAAAGAAATTAAGAATATTTTTTTGTATAAGTAATATTTTAACGTATTTTTTATTAATTTATTAGCTTCATTAATTCCATAGAGAAAATAAGTTATCATCACCTTGCCCTTATCCCTTATGGAGGGTCGGCACAGTAAGTGCTGCTCCATACATCTCTATCAGCCGTCATATCCAAAGGCGGATCCCTGAGCTGTTTGCTTAAGAACTTGACAAAATATATTTACATAGTCATAGTCAAGCTCTTGACTTGATCCTATGTCCCCCCCCCCCCTGGCGACAAACCTATTCGCACTTGGTCATATCTGAATCCACTCCTTTCTTAAGCATATCCTCTTTTCCACAATCCATCCATACTTTCTTCGGTCTTCCTCTTCCTTTGTAGCCATCCATCAGTCTTAACACTTTCTGGTTTATGTCCCCATAGAAAATAACTTATAAAGGTACAAAATAATATATGTATATATATATTGTGTAATAAGTATGGACTCTAGGGTAAAAGCCTCCAAGTTCAGTTTTTTTTATATAATATAATTTTAAAATAACTGTTTTTGATATTACAAAAAATATATATTAAGCTATAATAGTTATATATTTCTATGTAATTTATAGTATTCCTAAGTTTTCTTTACGTGTTTAGGTTTATTTCCTGGCCGTAACAAATATTGACGTACGTATAAAAAATATCTTTTAAAGGTCAGTAAAACTACATAACTGTTTTGCTAAATATATCCAGTAGCTTGTTTAAAAAAATATATATAAATACATTTACTCTATGCTCTAAAATGTAATATACTCTGTAATCGGCATATTTTTTTAAATAAAATAATAATTTTGTCGGGTGATGGTGCTCTTATACAGAATTAAATGTAAGAGAAAGCTGTGCATATCAGTTCATCTCGCTTTAACTCGTGCTAAGCTTTATCTATCTCATTCGCACTTTTAATACGTCTCATACGATTATTTTCAAATGCCATGACACGAAAACTTGCTATCTATTTTGCAATTGAATAAATGGACAGCATTTTTATACAGTTGTTATGACAATGGAAATACAACTTTAAATTTATGTCACATGTGTGGGTTTGCATATAACTCAGCCTAGCTAGATATTCTAATCTAGCTAGATATTATAGCCTAGCTAAGTATTCTAGCTTAGCTAGATATTCTATCTTAGCTAGATATTCTATCTTAGCTAGATATTCTATCTTAGCTAGATATTCTAGCCTAGCTAGATATTCTAGCCTAGCTAGATATTCTAGCTTAGCTATATATTATAGCCTAGCTAGATATTATAGCCTAGCTAGATATTATAGCCTAGCTAGATATTCTAGCCTAGGTGGATATTCTAGCCTAGCTAAATATTCTAGGCTAGTTAAATATTCTAGCCTAGCAAGATATTCTAGCCTAGCTAGACATACTAGCCTAGCTTTGGCTATCTTTAATCCTATCCGCAACTCGGTGTTTGGCAACTTGCGTGTATTCACATTTACTTATACATTTATATCAATGCCTGGTTTACATTAAGCCAGTACATTATGACAGTAGCGCGAATCTGGCATAGACCTCGTGCATTGGTGTTACTTATTTATCTTATGTCAGCTGTATTCTAGCGCTGATTTTTAGCGCTACTGATCTACCTTACTGGCTTGATGCGAACCAGGCATAGTCATTGTAAAGTACAGTCGAGGACAGAGATGTTAATTTTCTGCCTAAAGAGCTATATTTAACTAATTATAATGTAAGTTCCTACATTTAGCGTTTGCTTAATAATGGTGGAAATAGAAAAAAATGGACTGAACTATATTTGCTTTTATTCCTTAATTCATCTTTAGTATACGAGTACTAGAAAAATATTTTATTGTAAATTTACTCATAACACTTTTGTCCGCGACTGTCATTACAATTACTAGATAATCAGTTTGTCCCATTTAGTTATGTTGGTTGTTGTCCTACAGAGGTTTAATTTGTTGCAGCGCAGGACTAACTTCTTTGAACAAAATGGATGGATGTAGCGTCATCACAGGTAACGTAACTTAGTACTACACTGAAACGTCAATTAAATATGTAATCATCTTACTGATATTATAAATGTGAAAGTTTAGATGGATGGATGGATGGATGTTTGTATGAGTTTGTAGCCTAAACGGCTGAACGGATTTGGATTAAATTTGGCATAGATGTAGAGGATAGTTCCGAAGAACACACAGGCTATCCACTTTTGTTTTTTTTTCATTCCACGCGGATGGAGTCGCGGGCGAAAGCTAGTACTATTATAAATGTGAAAGTTTGGATGGATGGATAGATGGATGTTTGTTAGAGTTTGTAGCTTAAACTGTTGGACGGATCTCGATGAAATTCAGAATATATGTAGAGGATAGTCTGGTAGAACACATAAGCTACTTTTTTTTTCTATTACACGCGGACGGAGTCGCGGGCAAAAGCTAGTAGCTTAAATAAGGCCACGCTTAAATTACAAATTTCTTATAAATTTAGATGTCTGTCTGTAAGCGACTACAAAGCGAAGTGTTTAAGACAAGTTGATGCTCGCGACTTCGTCCGCGTAAAAAAAATAGAAAAGATGCCTATGTTACACACAGAACCTTTATAATGGTAAAATATTTTTGAAATCGGCCCAGTAGTTTTTACATAAAACAAATATATACAAAAATACAAATCTTTCATTTTTAAAATATTAATATAGATTAGTTTCCGTCAGTTTTGTTATTTTTTACTTATTATAAATGCAAAAGTTTAGTTGGATGTTTGTTAGTTTGTAGCCTAAACAGCTGAAAGGATCTCGATGATAGGTATATATCTAGATAGCCTGGAACACATAGGCTACTTTGCATTTAATTATTGCGAATGCAGGCTAAAGATTTCTTTGTTTCAGGTTGATATGATACAGAGTGAGTACACTAAATAAGTTGTAATACGGCAGTACCGCCTTTGTCTGCTCCTGTCCACCCTCTTTTGTAACTCAAAAGAACAGAATAGTAATAAATTATATAAAAAATTGTAAATTTTTGGTGATAAATGGCCACACTCAGTCTTAGTCCATTTTAATACTAAGAGGCGCCTTAAGTTACTGAGTGTGGTAACTTGTAACAAGTATCGGATGTTTATGTTTCAAATTTAGATTATTTTACAGATTTTTTTTCATTTAATCTTTTATTTATGTTTTGGAATATGTGTCCGATTTTTTCATGTTCGCATTAGGACAAACAGACTATATTCCCACTATATTAATTCCCTTAATTTCAATATATATGTAAAATTTGAAATAAAGTTTTGTGCTAGAATATTAAATTGGAGAAACTAATTTTATTGATGAAAAAAATTCCGTACAGACAAAGTCGCGGGTAACAGCTAGTAACATTGCCCAATTTTGTAAATGTATGTTAGAGTAAAAAGTAATTTGATTTGTTATTTTGTACATTTATAGTAGGAAATATCATCACAAACTGTTTGTTTTTAATGCGAATATGCCTGTCACGAGCATATATAGAAGTTATTTTGTATAATATAGTTTTACACGACCCCATTTCCTATGTCAGCTGCTCCACATAAGCATATATTTAAGAATAGGTTGTCTTGAAAATGTCTTCGAAAAACCGTAGAACTCGATTGCATATAGATCAATTAATTTATCTGACCCGGTGAAAATGACAGCTCACTAGCGCCTTCCACTCAAAAAACTATCTTAAAGTCCTTTATTTTGTATTTTAAAATATACTTCCTTTTTATATTGTTTACTTCTTTCTAGATTTTTCTGACAGAATAAGATTTTACTCTCACCGGGCCAGATATGTTTGTACTACAGTCTCTGTCTCTTTCTGACCGAAATAGAATGAAAGAGACGCCAATGTGTGCTTTTACATTCAAGTTCTACGGTTAAATTAAATCTAACGACTGTAAAGAAATCGAGCATTAAAGTTTATTGACTGAATTTTGATGTTTTAAGTCTAAAAATGTCAAATTATGTCTTTGAAACCAGTGATGACTCGTCTATGGCGTCTTTATTTGTGATTATATACTTTTAAATGCTTTTTAATTCGCATTTGATAAAAATATGGCTTCCATTCTTAATTGGCGCGAATTTTTAGCGCGTAATCGAATGGCTGAATTGTCGCGTTTTTGAGTGGATTGTGTAATTGTTGATTGTAAATCGTGGAGCAGTAATACAAATTGAGCCTTACAGAGAGCGAATGTTTTATCGATTTTTTTACAAGCTCTCGAGAAGTATTTTGTTTCTATTATACCAAAATTCCAAATTATGTCCTGTGTAATGAAATAAATATTTATAATGAATTACTTTTTCGTTTTATTTCAAATTCCGCACTTATACACCTTTTTCGAAGCGGTTTAACTTTTGACACCCCTGAAACTTCCTTAAAAGATAAAAAATGCGACCCATGCATTACCTTTCGGATAAAAAAAGAATTATCAAAATAGGTCCACTAACGGAGTTATGCCGTAACACAAAAAAACATACAGACGAATTGAGAACCTCCTTTTGGGAAGTCAGTCAAAAAGTTCAAATTTTAAACATCAGTAGATACATCTATACAAATAGCTAGTTGAATTCTTCACTTTTTACACAACGCGTGTTTATATAATTTTAACATACCTCCAATTGTTCTACAAATTTGAAATTGAGAATTTAGTCAGCGGTCTGTCTATAGATGTATGATAGTGAAAAATCTTGAAAATCGGTAATTTAAAAAAAAATACCATTTCATAGAAAATATATCAAAACACGTGATTTAGTGATATCTAACACATTTTTGAGACCTTCCTGCTTTGCCATATTCTAGTTAGCTTACTCATAACTGCCTTGAGACGAGCCGAAGACAGGGCGGCGTGGAGGCAGCTGGTAGATGAAACGGTAAAGGCTTACCAGAGCAGACACGACCTTCAGCAATGAAGATACGAAGAAGAACACATTTTTGTAAGGGTAGCTAGACTAAAGTTTTGATACTTAATTTTTTTTGTGAGATAATGTCAGATAAGAAAAGATGGTGTAAATAAAACGCAGTAAATGTTTATATTTTTTTATTAATTTCACAAAATTATTCATTAAAAGCCACAATTCGAAGGCTTTTAAGCTGTCAAAGCGACGGATAACACCGTTAAGTTATCTGTGATTTAGAACTGGGAATTCAGAAGCTATCTAGTCTACTAAACGTTTACATTTCATAGAAACCGACTTCAGATAGTCGAAGCTTTTCCTATTGTATGGGGAGACAAACGAGCGGTTAAAAAACGCGCGTTCCAACCGCTGTTACTAACATTGACTTAACTAACGTGGATTACGTATGTAAAACAGCTCTGAATATGACAGTGAGAAGCAACATCGATTTGCTTCTAATTTGATACACCTCAAAGCTATTGTGATCTCTAAATCCAACGCCTTAAAACTATCAGAGACGGAATGAATTTATAGTGATTATTCTATCTTGTTTTTTTTTATTGTTTTGTTAGTTTACTAATATTTCCTTTAACCATTCCAACTAAGCTCTAGCCTTGTGCTAGGATATGGTTCACGACAATAGACGAATGTCGGGATTCGAACTCTCGACCTCAAGATCGGTTGTCCGTACTCCAAACCATTGGGCTATTGGCGCTATCTACATAACGCTTTACCAATTTGCGTTTAGACATAATATAAGTTCATCCCGTCTCATAAAATTATTTATAACCTAAAAGTGTTACAAACACAATATGTAAATATATGTCCGCTCTGATATTTCGGGATCATACAGGTCCCGAACCAAAAAAGCTATAAAAGTCTTATTTTCAAATTATATATGGATTGAGATATAATTAAAAATGATAGCGTAAGAATCTATGCGGGTTTTATAAGACAATTAGGTACAAAATACATTCATCATTAGAAGCTCAAAATTTTCAAACACCTTGTCTTGAGTACAATACAATTCGGCCAAACGGGCAAAATAAAAGGTCCCAAGAATTAATTACAACTGGACCGATAAATATCAATCTCGAATAAGGCATTCGAATGCCCCAAAGCTTGTAAGCTATAAATATATTGATATATTAAATACTTCACGCTGTGATATTTAGAAAAAATATTACGTATTTTATACAAGCTTAAGCAAAAATAATTCTTTATATACCATAGAGTTTATTTTTATAATCTATGCTACAATAACACACCAATCATAAACAATCCCGCCAACTGTCAAGTTGACAGCCAGTGTTGCTATCATCGAAAATCCACGTGCTGGCAATCCGAAAATTTCACCGTGTCAATACTTGCTATAGATTACACTAAAATTAATAATTTGGAAATAATTACAAACATTATTTACACTCCAATCGAGAAATATCCTAATCACCAAACGTAAAAATTACATCGATTTCTACGTTAGCATGGCTTGCAGAGATGTTTTACTATAAAGCCTTATACTAATGTTTTTTTTTGTTGTTTTTTGTAAAAATATTAGTAGATTTTTGTTAATTTACTAATATTTCCTTTAACCATTCCAACTAAGCTGTAGGCTTGTGCTAGGATATGGTTCACAATAGTCGAATAGCGGGATTCGAACCCTAGACCGTAAGATCGGTAGTCCGTACCCCAAACCATTAGGCTATTGATGCTTGGTGTGTATTCCAAATAAAATTAATATAACTAAAAAACAAAATCTTAAATACATATACAAACGTGTTAAAATTTCCAATTAGAATCGCGTCAACTTACAAATGTCAAAATTTTGCCGCCATTTTAAAATCCTATAACTAATCCTATCGACTAGTGATTACAAGGTAACTATAAGTAACACAAAATAACTATATTTTACTTGGATTTTATACTATTATAATAAAAAAGCAGTTACATATAACTGCTAATATATTAAATAAGGAACGGATTCCAAATTTTTAATATACATTGAATTTATAGATTCTGTTATTGAGTAAAATATTCAAATTATATTTTTAAAATAGCTTTAAGCTATAGCGTAAATAACTTATGTTAGTTATCAAATGGAATGTATAAAAAACTGCTATCAGAGTCATTTTATGGATAAACATCCCCTTAGTGTCGATTTACTGAGAGTTAGTTAACCGGCCACTAATGACACGACTCTGAGAGCTAACAACAAAGATAAAACACTGTATTGATATAAATAAAATGTGAATACTAACATTTATATGAAAAATCTATTTCTTTTTATTAATGTGTTATTTATACGCTTATATTTAGTGTTTAAGAGGGTAGTCAGAAATAACATAAATGAAAATACATTTTCAAAATAAATGTTTAAATTATATGGATTTGTGCATTAAATTTTTTACATTTATTACTACTGACAACAAATTTAGTGTTTTATAAATATATAGAGAAATTATAAATATAATAAAAATTCTGCTCAACAAAGAAAACAATTTAAATTGTAAAAAAAAAATAATAAAAAAAATCTTTAGTAGTATTCTAAATGCGCATAATATTTAGGCAGGACAAGAGTGGAGTTACAAAGGTGTACTCATAATACTTTAATGGCTAATTAAAGAGTCCCTTAGTGCTTAAATGTGTTGATAAATCCCAGAGGGACAATACACTAAGATACTAGGGACTACTTTAATGGCCATTAAAGTACTCTGAGTGTAAGAGAGCAACAGATGCTGCAAGTCGCAGCGGTCTTCTATCAACGGGAATTATGGCCCGGAAACATCCTGAAATTAAATAATTTTGTTTCAAACTGCAATACTCAAAGTCATTTAATTCTACACTAAGGGTATGATGAAGTGTTTTGTATTATTTTGTGACTGAATGGCCACTGTTTGCTTTTGCGCTTAGCTTAGATAGCTCGAGGACTCCCTCAGGAGCCTCGACTTGGTCCGTTACTTCGTTATTATTACCGCACTCGCTGTTCCCGTGCAATTACATCAGCATAAAATTATTTTATTGTTTACATGTGTCAAATTGTCAATTGCAAATGTCAAAATGACATGACATGACAAAACTTGGCAATCTTGCTTCCTTGATGTTGGCAGCAACTTGTCTCTTTCCCACATTAGGGTTTTTATCCAAAATATTTACCCCAAGTTTAATGTCGTGAAAATATATAGCCTAAAGCGTGACGTTAGTGTAGGGCTTTTTATTAAAAATAAATATTCAAATTGATGCTGTAATTGCTGACATGTTAGGCAACAAAGAAGTGTGTGTTTACGCTTTATTATAATAGTATTGTGTGTGTTGTAGTTATACGTACACGTTAGTTCAAGAAGCGCGGCGTCCAGTCAACGAGCCCACGAAGGACTTGAGAGCGGCGCCCAGCGAGGCGCGCCCCTCCGCGCCGCCCGCGCCCCCGCCCCCGCCCCCCAGCACCGCCCCGCCCCCGCCTCCTCCCCCGCCCCCGTGCGCGTCCAGACACTTCTGATAGCGAAGCTACAAAACAAAATTATAATCTAAAACAAACACAGATACCCATCTCTTTCACATCACCTAGATTATGTCTTCCTTCTCTTTCATGTAACGAACATACTACGACTACACAGAAAACAAGCGTCAAGTGGAAGCAAGTCCGCGTCTCTGATGAGTGTGGTGTCAGGCTTATTAAAGTCCCTTTCCCTTACTCCATTTTCTTATAAGGAAAGGATGGGAAAGGAACGTAGATCTGACATTAGAGGAGACTCATAGGAAGGGGAAATATGCTCTTTATGTGCGTTTCTTCCCTCGATTAGGGGTAGACAGCACATCCGCTATTACGAATGTCTATTAGGCAGCGGTAGTTTCGCCTTGGCGCTTCTAGATGGGCGCTTGCTCGTTTACCATGTTATGATATAAAATAACACTTCCTAAAAGAAAAATAGATTATATATCTTCTGTTTTCTGTGTGAAATGTACCTTGCATGCGGCCTCTATGGTCTTGCAGAGTGCGCCGGAGGAGGGCTCGGCGTGGAAGGCGTGTGCGACGAACTGCTGGTGCTGCGTGTGCACGATGAAGGCGCAGCGCCGCACGTCGCGCCCGATGCCCAGGAACGACAGGTAGCGCACGCGGCACTCCACTATCGGGCTCGTCTCCTGTACAACATTCAATTGCAAATAAATCGGTACTAAATATTTACAAGTGAGTCTACTTTCGCCCGTATTCACAAACGACACTGTGAGGTCTCATAGTGTGCCCGAGCGCACGGGGCTGGTAAAATCAATTCACAAACAACACTTAAGTGCCACAGCGCACTGTGCGTTCCCTAAAATGAACGCACAGATAAAGTAGCTCCGCAACTACTTTAGACAACGCATAGTGTTAATGCTATTATTAATTCCCTCTCCAATGAAGTAAATGGTATTTTCTTCGAACTAGTTTAAAATACGGTATCAGATTAAATGCCATATAACTGTAGTAATAATAAAAAAAAATACTCATTAACCTACAAATTGTATTCGCAATCAATAGAAAACAACGATGATCGTAAAAAAATGTATCTAAAATTTCACTTACCACATGGCAACGGCAATAACCGTACAACGTACAAAATAATTAACACGTATCCAAGCAAAATAATGTCTAAACGTATTTATATTGGTTGATTTCTTTTGCAAAACAAACTTGCTTTGAGGTTATTATATTGTTATTAATATCAACAGTTTTTCAGACAAGCTATGTAGTGAATTTAGCAACACAAACGGACCAATCACGGAGCGGTATCTAACGCAGTACGTTCTCTCAACGAACTGTTACTTAAGTGTCGTTTATGAATCAGAAGGCTTGCCAAAACGAACGCATTGGGAAATTTTGTTCTTTGCACAGTGTTAGTAGTACGCACAGCCAAGTATTGTTTGTGAATACGGGTGTTACAGTCTTCAATAACGCTAGTTAGTGTGAGTTTAGAACAGTTTAGAATCTCTTTGAAATATACATATATATAACAATCCAACGTATAACATATGTGATTAAAATATCGGATTTTGTTACTTTATCTGGCAGTGACGTCATTTTTAAGCTGAGCCTCTATCAGCCAGTGTTGGGATAAGCCCTTAGACTAGTTGTCATTTTAAAACTTTATTTTGTTGTTTACATTTGTACTTTTAACCGTAAATGCCGAAATTTTTACGCTTAAATGACAACAAAGGCCATTGGCTAACATTTACCGTTACCAAGGCAATCTTGCTGATATTCACTTGTAGGTTTTATTCCTTTCCCGCATGACTATGTCTTCTAATTCACTCCCGAAATTAAATAGCGTGAAAATGTAACCATGTATAAGTGTAATCATTTAAAATGTAATCGCTGACATCTTACATAACAAAATGTGTTTATAGTACTAGCTTTCGCCCGCGACTCCGTCCGCGTGAACTTAAAAAAAATAAAAGTGAGTAATCTATGTGTTCTTCCAGATCCTCTGCGTTTAGACTACAAACTCTAACAAACATCCATCCATCTAAACTTTCGCATTTATAATAATAGTAAGATAGATCAAATACATCTATACTATTATAATAAAGCGTAAACACACACTTCTTTGTTGCCTAAGATGTCAGCAATTACAGCATATTTTTGAATAATTCTGTTTTTAATAAAAAGCCCTACACTTACGTCACGCTTTAGGCTGTATATTTTAACGCCATTAAACTTAGCTAGTAACAAATTTATAGACTTGACAGTGATATATTTTTACCGATAACTTCTTTGAAAGGTAATTTGCAGTATATTCGTTGTCAGTATACTAACCCCTTCCTCAGTGATGGTGATCATGGAAGGTGCGACAGCAACGGCGACTGGTCTCCAGGCGCTGGGCGCGCGCGCCGCCGCCAGCCGCTGGAGTGCGTCGTTGAGGACGTCCATGCCAGTGGCACGCGGCACCTCCGCGCTGCCGAGGTACCGCGCTCGCACTGTCTTGCGAGGCTCCTCCATTGGAGTGGGGAACGACGCACCTGGAATATAGCATACATTCTTTCTCATATCTAGACGTACAATAAACAGAGACAAAAGTCTTTACAGAACTAGACACGGCTATCTATACTATTATAATAAATAAAGCGTAAACACACACTTCTTTGTTGCTTAAGATGTTAGCAATTAGAGCATATTATTAAATGTTTTTTTTTTAATAAAAAGCCCTACACTTACGTCATACTTTAGGTTGTCTTTTTTCACGCCATTAAACTTAGGGGATAAAAATTTTGGATAAAAACTCTAATGTGGGAAAGAGACCATAAGTTGCTGCCAACATCAAGGAAGTAAGATTGCAAAGTTTTGTCATGTCATGTTATTGTGACATTTACAATTGATAATTTGACAAATGTAAACAATAAAATAAAATTTTCATAATTTCATGCGGATGCAGCCGCACGGGAACAGCTAACTTGCTTGCTTGCTAAAGCTAACTTTATCTGACTTCCAAAAATGAGGAAGTACTCAATACGTCTGTATGTTTTTTGTATTTATTACATTACCTCACATTTTATATTGGTTTTTGTTTTTTTCATTATTAAAATATAAATCTAACAAGACTACATAATATCTAAGTAAAAGTAAATTAAATGCATAAGAGCGGGCCTACACCTTTGACTAAACTATCGCACAACCGTTGTGCGATTGTCTATTTCGCAGCCAATTCATTTGTTTAGTTGTAGAACAAAAATCGAGTAATGCACCTCCATATAAGCTCATAGAAATCAAAGCGAAACTAAAAGTAATGCGATCGTTTTATTTCAAACGAGCTGTTGCCCGCGACTTGTCCCGCGTGTTATTAGACAACATACGAACTATATAAATGACAAAAAGCTACGTATCCCTCGGGAACCGGATACCTCGGTGATGAAGCTTATCCCATGTGTACTCCAGACTTTGTTATATATTTGTGCCAAATTTCAATAAGATATGTTGTACCGTTGCAGAATGATCGAGTAAATTAATGAATCCCACGGGAACCGTAACTATTCCCGGGATAAAAAGTAGCCTATGTGTACTTCCAGACTATGCTTTAAAACTGTGCCAAATTTCATGGAGATCCGGTCAGTCGTGTAGGCTACAAACGCTAACAAACATCCATCCATCTAAACTTTCGCATTTATAATATTAGTAAGATTTGCGCATGCTGTTATACTTTGAATAATCATAATTTATAGCGACTTTTGTAGTCAAAACTATTACTAATTAGTCTTACGAAGTATACCGGATAGTGGCCTAGGTCGCCGAGCTGCTGGCAAGTCTGTAGGCCGCGGCGGCGGCTGCAGCGAGCGTTCAATCATGATGCGCTTGCAGATGTCACGGAGTGCGTTGGCGATGGCACGAGCGGGCGCCTCGCAACGGAACACGTGGCACATGTGACGACGAGTCGCGCGGTCACGAGCCACGTATGCAAAGTCCCTGAAATACATACTGACTGAATATCTCATACGATATAAGACCACATAAGGCTACACAATGCCACCTTCGAGCGGGCGCACGTAGTCAAAGTGGGACTAATCATTTGCGATAGTTTAGTCAAGGCCTAATTTAAATCCCTTTCTCTTTATCACCCTTTTCTTATAAGGAGAAGTTGGGAAGAGGAAGTGGATTTGACGGTGGGGGGGATGCATAGGAAGGGGAAATATCCTCTTTATGTGCGTCTCCTCCTCCGTCGTATAAGGGTAGGCAACGCATCTGCAATTGCGGATGTCTATGGGCAGCGGTCGCTTCGCCATTTTGGCGGTTTCAGGTGGCCGATTGCTCGTTTGCCACCTTATGTTATAAAAAAAAAGTCAAAAGTGACTACATTACCAGTTAAATAAAAAAAAATACTTTTAATAACTATATTACATCGCGACACTAAATAGTAAAATAAAAAGAAAACAATATTAATAATAAAAAAATAATAACAACTAAAAATTACAAACAACACTTGTAATAACAAATATTAGTAAAAAATAAATCTAACTCATTAAAACATATATGTATAATAATAGAGGAAATAAAATTACGTAAAAAAAGACAAAAAGACAAATAGCTAAAAAAAATCCAAACGAAGTGAAAAGAATTTAATTATGTTATTATAATTAATTATATTATAATTAAGTTTATAAAAGTAATGTAACATAACATCGGCATCAGCTGACTGGTTTGAATGCTCGCCGCGTAACAAGTTACACCTCGTATCGTCGATCAGTACCTCATATGTCAATTCCTTGTAACATCACCACAGAATCGTACACAACACAACTGAAGTCATATAACATAATCAGGGCATAAAAAAATAATTATTTCTACAGCGCCTCTTAACCGTAATGGAGTAAACTCCTTATAACGCGGTTGATAGAATCCCTCCTTATAACATGATTTTCATCTATACAAAGCACTTATAGCGTTATGAGAGAGAGATTGTTTTTAAAATTGTTGGGAAATTTCGCGTTATATGGAGGTATAGAATTTAAATTGTAATATAGCGCGTTGTATCTGGGTTTACTGTACAAACTCATACGAAAAGCGTCTGTGGCGCCCTTTTATGCACCCTCGGCTGTCACCTACCCTGACTTTAATAGGGTGCGGCAGTACTGACACACAACAAAAACGACTAGTGTTAAAATCACTTGCATTTAGTGCATTAATTTTATAAATAGTGCTGTGTTAATTACTCGAGTCTTAATAATAATAATATAGCCCCTTTATTCTAAAATTATTCAGTTAACTATAGTTGAGTATGGATTAAGTCCACAATATGTCTTTAATTTCAGTGTGCCTCTTGGCATAGGGCTCATCTAAACATTTCCATTGGGTTCTGTCGTGGGCAACTCTCCTCCAATTTGGGCCGGCTGTCATTGTTATGTCATCCTCCCATCTTAGAAGCTGCCGACCTCTCCTTTTACCGTCTCTCGGGCACCATTCAGTCACGGCTCTACCTTTTCCTTTTGTATCTCTTATTATGTGACCGGTCCAGTCTCAGTCTTAGTGAATATTTAATTTTTATAATTGTTATTTAACAATTAAGTTTAGTATAGTTTTATAAGCTTGCAGTGGCTTTGATGAAATGTTGACATCGATATAAATTCAATTGGAAGTTTAACATTTAGAAATAAAATTAATTTGTGAAATAAATTAAATTATAATTTAGAGGATCTTTTATCGTCTTGTGTGTTTGTAATAAAATCGATAAAGCAGAAGCAAAAATATTTCGAATTTACGTAAATTCACGTAAATTTTTTCATTATTTTTCCACAACTACGATAAAACTTAGCTAGCTACAAGCTCTACTGAATTCATACCTTTCACTATTCCGAGAAAGCGATAGAAAAAAAAAATGTTTCAGTCAGAATTTATGTACCAATTAAAGTTTTTTTATTACTATAATAAAAATAATAGTTCCAATTATTTAATAATTAACCTATCAGTTTTATCAATATTTTTACCTATTTTCAAAGCATAATATGTACTTAAAATATTACATTTATGGGAAATCTAACTGTATTAAAAAAAAACAATAATAACTGAGAATCACTATTCTCAAATACACCAAATGAAAATTCTGATCAAATAAACAAAAAAAAAATTTAACTCTCACATTATCGCTCTCAGAGTCGACTAATTGTAACTTAATGATTGATTTAGTATTTTGTTAACAATAAGACTTAAGTATTTAAAGAAAGTTTATCGTATAAGTAAGAGTCTTTAGAAACCAATCTTACCGTCCGTTATCTCTGCCGACCCCCCACACGCGTATGGTGTGTATGGGCTGTGTATGAAGAGTGTTTAGACTCTCAGGGTCGATTAACTTCAGTGCGCCATCATCCAAATCCATGAATAAATCTTTTCCCTGGAAAAATATCAAACAATACGTGTTGTAAATCTGAGTTTGCTTAAGAAACGCGGAATTACTTTCACTTCACGCCTGTCTTCTGTATGGTCGTGGTATTACCAGGCTAGTTTTATAGTGCGAAGATGTTAAAGCGGGCTCTACCACACAAAATTCCAATGGTACACGCTAGCTTCATAATAATATATCTTACTAACGATATCTCTATCCCATATGACGAGAATCTCGTGGAAGCCGAAAATGAAAAATTTTTAAAATACGAGCTGTTGCCCGCGACTTCGTACGCGTGGTATTAGAAAACATACAAACTATGTAAATTACAAAAAGCTACGTATCCCTCGGGAACCGGACATTTCTCGGGGATGAAGCTTATCCCATGTGTACTCCAGACTTTGTTTTATATCTGTGCCAAATTTCAATAAGATATGTTGAACCGTTGCAGAATGATCGAGTAAACATTAAAAAACTAAATTAATGAATCGCACGGGAACCGTAACTATTCCCGGGATAAAAAGTAGCCTATGTATTCTTCCAGACTATGCTCTAAACCTGTGCCAAATTTCATGGAGATCCGTTCAGTCGTTTAGGCTACAAACGCTAACAAACATCCATCCATCTAAACTTACGCATTTATAATATTAGTAAGAAGTAAGATTTGGATTTGGTTTACGAGATTACCGCCATGTGGCGTATGAAATCGACTATTATTCCGATAGTCGTTTCGTCACATGGGCTGATAGCGAAGAGCTTCGACCAACACCTCAAGAAGCTCTCGCTAGACAGTTGGATTAAGGGCCCGATTCAAAAGGCGGTTATTTTAGAAACCGCACGACTAGTGAGGAGGTTCCTGTCTCTGCAGCCCTGACCACTGGTTGCTTGAGTCATCGGATTCCGCAGCCGGTGGTGCTCTATTTTTTATATAATATATTTTATTTTATTTTTATATCAAATCTTGTAAAATATATTATATAGAAAATAAGAAATAACGACATATCTTCCTAATATTATAAATGCGAAAGTTTAGATGGATGGATGGATGGATGTTTGTTAGAGTTTGCAGCCCAAACTGCTAAACGGATCTCGATGAAATTTGGCATTGATGTAGAGGATAGTCTGGAAGAACACATAGGGTACTCACTTTTGTTTTTTTTTTTAATTAAACGAGGACGGAGTCGCGGGCGAAAGCTCCTGATAATTTAGTTTGAAGTTACTAATAATTTAGTTTGATGTTAGAGTTTGTAGCCTAAAAGATAGTATGTCCAATCTATTTTTTAATTCCACGTGGACGTAGTCTAGAAAGCTAGTGTCTTCATGAATTTGTACTTACATCGCCCCACCTAGCGGCGTGGTCGAGCAGGTCGTTGCGGCCGAGGCTGAGGTCGACGATGCACTTGTTGACCGCGCGGCTGGACCTCTCCGGCGTCAGCTCCTCCTCGCCGATCTCCACCCAGCCCAGCGACCGCACGAAGAACCGCACCGCGCGCCCTTCCACCTCGCCGCGCGCGGGGTAGCTGCGACGTCTGTTAACATACACTTTGTGTTACAGCTGTTGCCCGCGACTTTGCTTGCATGAAATTAAAATATAATACAAAATCTAGTCTATGTTACTCACAGATAAATTACCTTCCTAATGGTGAATGAATTTTTAAAATCGACCCAGTCGTTTTTGCGTGAATCAAATACATACAAAAATCCAAAAGAACAAATATTTCCTATTATATATCCTATATTTTTAGTTATAATATAAGGTGACAACGAGCAAACGGCCAGAATCCAGCGAAATAGAAAGCGATCTCTGACCATAAACATCCGCAATTGCAGATGCGTTGCCTAACCTTAATCGACGGAGGAGACGCACATAAAGCGAACATCTTTCCTTCTCATGCGTCTCCTCCACCGTCAAATCCACTTTTCCTTCCCATCCTTTCCTCTTAAGAAAAGTGTGGAAAGGGAAAGGGATTAAAATTAAACCTCCGGCACCACTCATCAGACGAAACGCGGAATTGCTTCCACTTCACGCCTGCTCTCTGTGTGATCGTGGTATTACACCGGGCGAAACGGCCTGTGCAAAGATGTTAAAGCGGGCTCTACCACTGTTAAATAGTATATATAGATAATAGCGAAGCAAACATTATGAACATACTTGTAAGAGATCTCCTCCTTCCTCTTGCGTTCCTCCAAATCAACGTGATCGAGGGCGCCACTGGTGGTGCTTCTCACCACGGAGCTGGCCATCTCATACTTAGGGTCGAAGCTGGGGCAGTCGCGGACCATCGACAGCCGCTCCTTACCCTCGGGGCGGGGTAACTCACGCTGGATGGTACCGCTCTTGATGTGCCAGTAGTATGGACCGTCAGCATCTGTCCATTATAAATAGAACTATTAGACATTGGCACAAAGAGTCAGTGGTATTAAAAGCATTATGTACAGTCGCCGACACTCGCGGTGTTACAAACAGAAAATTGTCTTCTGTCTTGTAGTGAGAGGTAGCAGTTAGTTGTGAAAACAAAGGAATAATAATAAAAATAATCTAACCGTATACTGACCACCCTCTTTTCGTACAGACACATTTAAAAGCTAGCTTCCTATTGGTTAATGTGCCGGGTCGTCTCAATGTACAGAAAACGATAAAGAAGTTGTAATACAAGCATATTCTCCAACTGTACATATATATAGCAATAGTCTCTTGCCAGCATTTGCGTTGATTTTAAAGTTGATTACAATGGACCTACCCTCGTGTTTCTCCCATCCCGGTGGCAGCTGCGGTTCCTTCTTGGGTCTAAGTTTGACTGGTATAGCATAGAGGTCATCGTTGGGCCCCGCGCAGTGCGGCACGGCGCCCGCGTGGCTCTTCTCCGAGTCCTCCCGATCGGCCCTCTCTTTCTCCGGAGGAGGTGAGTCTTCTCCCCCATTCTGGGGCGGCGTGATTAGGCCGCTTTTGTCACTGTAATAAAGAGGATTGGACTTTATTTTGAGTCACCAATAACCGTTTACCTACATTTTAGTCTTGGCGATCTTAGTGTATTTTTAAATTGTCCTGTCTAAAACTGATCGTGGATTAAAAAAGCGTGTGCACAACTGAAACTAAACTATCGCACAACTGGTTTTGCTTTGATTCCTATGAGCTTGTATGGTGTGCACACTACTCGATTTTTAGTTGTGCAACTAAACAGTTGAATTAGTAGCGAAACAATAGACAATCGCGGAACAGGTAGTTTAGTAAAAGATGTGTGCCCACTCTAAAAACAACATATTTTATTTAATGTAAAAAAATAACGTTTTTAGCAGTTGAATTTGCTGCGAAACAATCGACAATCGCACACATTCGTGGTATGGTTTAGTCAAAGGTGTGCCCGCTTTAAAAGTAAACGAAGCGGATGTATACGTTCATATGAGGAAGTTTTGTTGTGAATCATACGCTAATTACCACAGCATTGTGTTATGTGAGCGTGGGAAAGGTATTTTATTTGTCACTATAAATCGCACACAAATATAATCTATACAATGTGCGCACCTCCATAAATATTCATACTAATAATAATGTTTCTATATTGTACAAGGGCTCTTACTGTGTATGTGCTTTGGTTATCCAAAAGATATAGATATCACTTCGAAGATGCTTATGCACAAACTATATTATTATTTTTTATAGAGGGAAAAATGCTTTACAGCACCGTCAGACGTGGGAGCTATATGCTTGGTGTGTCGGGCTCAGGCTCAATAGTATTCACCTAACCTAACACGAGTCCCGTTACCGACTAAACAACCCTCTCTATGGACTTAGCACAAACTATATTACCGACAATGCTACGTATGTGACAAAACTAGGCGATAGTTGGCACGTTTGTTCAAAATGTATTCTAGTTTCCCACGTGCCAAGTCAAATGGACACTACTCTTGAGGTCAAACAACTAAAAACTAAGTATCTAAGCAGAGTTTTAAATCTAAAGTCTTTTAAACATCTGAAGACATCTACAGAGTGAACCGTAAGTTAGATTAGATCAAGTTGTATAATTACTTAATTCTCAGTAATTGTTTGTTTAAACGCTACTTACTTTGCTTTTGCAACTGGGGAAGACGCCTCGTCTTCAACTCTGAAAATGAAATAAATATTCAATTAATATTAATCATAACATAACGGCCGTACCCTCTAGGGTAGGCAGAGACAATGGATTTTCATATTCATACATATGACAGTTTGTGTACTAAGTATTGCTTTTGTAGTATCTTAGTTTGTAGTCAACTTAAATACGTACATACTGAGAGGTTAAAAACCTACCCATAGAGTTGCTATTCGTATATTATTTTGTTCAAATTATCTTTAATAATACAGTAGAACCTCGATAAGTTAAAGTCCAAGAGAAACACAAAATATTTTAAGTTATAGAGGTTTTAAGTTATCAAGGGTCTATGTTGTAGTTTTGGGCTCTGATGGGAAAGGAACATATTATTTTTTTAAAGTTATAGAGGTTTTTAAGTTACCGAGGTTTGAGTTATCGAGGTTCTGTTGTATTTAATTATTATAATATGACCAAAGCTTTAAAAAACATAATTTATTGTATTCTCAAAGATTGAATTTGATTATACTTTTTTAAAAGTTTGTATTAAAGCTCGAGGTTTACAAATATTAAACTCCACGGCTTGGAAATTATTAATGTAAAAGTTTCCGAGCGTTCGCGGAACTTTTTGAAGCTTTTAATCTGTTGCTTTACGGATTATTTCTCCACAAAGAATGAATTGGATGGAAATTGTTTTGTTAATTGTAATATTTTTTATTATCTACTCTTAAACATGCAATGTTGTGTGTACTTGTTATAATAAATGCGGTGTCTTCATATTAAATAAAATAATATTGAAGTGTATAAATATGTTTTTTTATAATGTTTTTTTCGTTTTATAAAAAAACTAGCTTTCGACCGCGACTCCGTCTGCGTGGATCTAACTAAACCAAAAACGCGTAAGGCTACGAACATAATAAGAACATATAGGCATATGTTCTTCCAAACTAACCTCTACGTCAATGCCAAATTTGATCGAGATCCGTTTGTTTGTTTAGGCTACAAACCTTAACAAACATTCATCCATCCATCTGGATTTATAATATTAGCTGTTGCCCGCGACTTCGTCCGCGTGGTATTAGAAAACATACGAACTATTTAAATAAAAAGCTACGTATCCCTCGGGAACGGGACATTTCTCGGGGATGAAGTTTATCCCATGTGTACTCCAGACTTTGTTTTATATCTGTGCCAAATTTCAATAAGATATGTTGAACCGTTGCAGAATGATCGAGTAAACTTTAAAAAACTAAATTATTGAATCCTAAGGGAACCGTAACTATTCCCGGGATAAAAAGTAGCCTATGTGTTCTTCCAGACTATCCCAAAACCTGTGCCAAATTTCAACAACAAATACCCATCCATCCATCCATCTAAACTTTCGCATTTATAATAATAGTAAAGTAATAAGTAAGATGTAATTATAGAGATCTCCAATGTGATAAATATTGTAAAAGACAGAAATAAGATTTTTGGTTTTTATGTAGATATTCTATCCATGGTTTACAATGATATTAAAAATTTGAAGTGAGCACCTACGCTTATTTCAGGTTGACTATGTTCGTTGTCTTAAAGAGACTATTCTTTAAGATTTAATAATGTAAAATAGACTGTTTTTATGTTTAATACATTTTCAACTACGTAGCGTCGGAGCCCGGGCATCACAAGGGCAGACAAATCAATTCTATGGCCGCTAAGAGGTCACAGAGGTTAAGTAACACGTAGCATGTATTGCTGTCATACACAATTTCTAAAAAACACTTCTTTTTCCAGCTATATATCATTTTTTTTAATCTAAAGATAGATATTTATTTTCTTTTATAACACAGCTGTATAAAGCCACTTCAATATGTTAAAGAAGAACTCGTCTCGTCTTGCAATTTGTATTGAAACCGAAGTAAGAAAAAAAAACAGAATTTCAATATACTTACTTAATAGTAGCGGTAACTTATTTGTTTTATTACGTTAATGTAACAATTAAATAAAAATATAAAAACACAAAACAACAAAAACAAATGAACTACAAATTCGTTATCAAAGGTCTTTCCGAAGTCTTACGAAAATTCAAGATGGCCGCGCGATACAGATTATAGGTAAATTGCAAATGGCGGACATACAAATGCACGTGTTTCAATATTTATGTTACATATCCATTTAGAAGACATTTATTTAATCTTTTCATGTATTTACAGCTTTCATACATTCATAGTTTTGTTATAAAAAGGGTTTCTTTTAATTAAGAAATGTCGACTTCGCGATTGCAACGGTCTGGTTGGGTTAAATAATTTTAAATCCATTGCAAAATTTTCCACAAACTATATTCTTGAATAGAAATAACAAGTTTCGAAACTCGTGTAAAGTTTTATTTAGTTTACATTTCTAGAGATTTTCTGCAAAGTACTTCGCAAACTTTGTTACAAACTCGATAAATGTTATACAACAATTCATTTCTCTACTGAACATTTAATAAGTTTTTACATTTTATTTCTCCTACGAACTTAAAATTGAACCTTATTTAAAAGAAATTCTACCTAAAAGCACAAAATTTCGTTCAAACAATCCTATATTTAATTCTAAGATTTGTCGAAAGTAGACTTTTAATTTAATCTTTACTAATATAATAAAGCGTAAACACACATTTCTTTGTTGCCTAAGATGTCAGCAATTACAACATATTTTTGAATAATTCTTTTTTTAATAAAAAGCCTGTACTAACGTCACGGTCCAGGCTATATATTTTCACGCCGTTAAACTTAGAGGCTAAAAATTTTGGATAAAAACCCTAATGTGGGAAAGAGACCATAAGTTGCTGCCAAGATCTAGAAAGTAAGATTGCCAAGGTTTGTCATGTCATGTCAGTTTGACATTTGCTATTGATAATTTGACAAATGTAAACAATGAAATAAAATTTTCACAATTTCATGCGGATGAAGTCGCACGGGAACATCTAGTCTGTATGACTTGATGCAGTTATAGTAAAAAAATCTACAAAAGGAACAATCTCTCAAATCTTAATACCACTTAAACAACTCAGAAATCGTCTATTATTGTTAAATATCAGTTAAATTAGATCAAAACAAACCTTTTTGGTGCGCATTTTTAAGCCAGTGTCGAAAGATCTAACCGGCCAGTACTTTCAGATAGAAGTGTAAACAACGCGGTAGATCATGCTCGGAAAACAAAACCATTTATAACTTCAGTTCATTTATTGAGGGTAGTTCAAGAAACGAGAATAAAGGTCATTGAACTTGTAACGAATTGAACTAAAGCGCCTTTATTTGACTAGATATAAACTGATTTGACAGAGGATGGAACTGAAATTTTGAATATCGATAACTAACTTTCGCCTGCGATTTCGTTCGCGTGGGATAAAAGAAGAAAGTAGCCTATATGTTCTTCCAGACTATCCTCTACATCGATGCCGAATTTCATTGATATCCGTTCAGCAGTTTAGGCTACAAACTCTAACAAACATCATAAACATTCCCATTTATTTGTAAGAAGTAATGTATGTCGATGTAATATTGCGGGGTTCTGTAAAATTCTCCTCTGGCTCAATGAATATTACGATTCTATCGTTATATCTGAATTTACTCTCTTACGCATCTCTTTCATATCCATCCTTACTTTCGACGGTCTTTGTACCATACTATTTATAGCTTTACTTGTAACTAATTGTACAAAATGTATGTTAGATCGAATTAAAGTAGCGTAAAATAAGGGCAATGACCTAAATGATCACCGTTGCATGTTTCTGTTCTGTGAATCACTCACGCGATACGAAATTATCTATTTTATTTCTCACGTGTTTACGTTTGTGTGTTATTATGAATTTTTAATTCGTTGTACAAAATATATTGACATCTCACTCATTCTCTTTGAAAAAACGGAGACAAGATAGGTGTTGAGGCAGGCAAGCAGGTGGGTCGCGGAAGATTGCGCGAGTGTTCCCGTGACCTAGCCATCGGCGAACAGGAGGAACACCGCTGGGTTTTTAGTGGGTATTCCGGCCACGCCTTCTCTTTTTGCCGGCGAGTTCCACGTACCGATGCGTAAAGGCATTTTCCCAGCAAGAAAAAAAAGGCAAGCATGTTCTTGAAGCAGATATTTATTCCAATAAAGAGGCAAACTTCAAAAGTTAAATTATTAACTTATAGACCACAATAACGACGAACTAACTGTACCAATTTTAAAAGAATGTTTAAGCATTGTCAAGTTACATTATCACTTAGTAACATAGGTTATAAATATTATAACTAGATTTTTTGAATTTAACACGAATGACGTCACGGGTTAAAGCTAGTTAACCTGTAGACAATACTTTATTTTTACAGTTGCCGATTTGACCTTTTTTCTATCAATATAATAATATACAAGTTATGAGTTATTACAATAACTAGTTTAAAAAACAATGAAATATCCTTGATATTAACATTGTTTGGTACCTCTTTAAAAGTTGACTTATTTCATATAAATAAACTCTTTCTATACAATAAGAAAACTAAGGAAATATCTGTATTAAAAGAGCGTGTTCTTGATCAAAATACATTTTGTACCTTCCTCACCTTCAGAGTTACGTAAAGCAAGGAATATAATAGAAACAATAAGTCAGGCGCCGAAGAAGGGTAGGGGACAGGGAGGCTACGTGACGATCTCGACTTTTATTTCAGCTGGAAATTCCTGTAAAGTCCGTGTTTACGTTGGCCCAAGTAACAAGAATGCGCGGCGGAAATTGAACCAATTATATCAAGGTAATACATTATTTTTCTAAGGTAATTCTAATTTTACCTTTAAAATACAAATATTCAGGCGTTTAATTTTTTTATTTCAAGCTTTTATAGAGAGTAGAGATGTTTTATTCACAAGAATCAGGCGTAATTACGCAGCGTAAAAAATAAGGTAATGTATACACTACGTAATCACGATACGACATAAAACACATTTCTATTCATACGTTTAAAAAGTGAAGAGATTATGGTTTTATAAAACGCTACTCTCTCGTTACTTGTGTCGTATACAAATAGCTTCCGCTGCCA